GTGATCAAACCCAACCCATCAAGTTTCTTACTTACATTCGATGGAGGTTGCGTAGGGAAAAAAATCCCATACAATCAAGTGCATCATTGTTATTGCCAATTTTTTTTAATCAGAATTATTTCAATTTTGAATTTGTTTTATTATAAGATATAGATTAAATTTCATCTATAAGTATATGGATGAACTTGTTAAACAGGCGAGTAGGGGTTATAAGCCACTATAAAAAAATTAATTAATTTTACTTGGTGTTTGTTTTGACCGGATTATAAATGTGTTTTAGTGTTTATGTTCCTGGATTTGAACTTATTACTTGCTTTTTCAAATGTATATGTAATTACTAATTACTGTAGCTACCATCCCATTTACTAATTTTTTATATAAACATATTAAATTATTTAACTTTCCCCTTCTAATATTAATTCTTGCGTTTTTCCTTATATAAGTAGTATTATAAGTGAACTAATTACTTTTGTGTAAACTTATCAAACTTGAGATACAAAACTAGTTTAATATTTGTTGCTAGTAATATTATTTTTATTTATAAGCTCATAAATAATAAAATGTAAATTTAATACTTATCATGATAATAAAAAATAATTATACTATATAATATTATAAATGGAGGTTTGTTGTTAAAAAATCATGATACTAAAAAATAATTATACTATATAGTTTTTATGATGATGACGTGTTTTGAGACAATTCACTGAGTATAAATTTTGATCTAAATAAACTTGATCGGATAGAATTTAGTAACATTATGATTCATATGAGTTGATGAAATTTCTTTCTATTAAACAGGGTGAATGTATTTTTGTATTATTGATATGTTAATAGAAGAATAATAACAAATCACTTTATATGCAAGACTTTATAAGCATATTGTACATCAAATATTTATTTTAAAGCTCTTAGAAAGGATCACTTCAAGTTATAGTGACACATCCACCAAATTAATTACATATACACTATTTTCTATACCATATCATACTTATTTTATAATTTTATAATTTTAATTTTGTAATTTGTAATTTCTCAATGGTTTATTGTAATTTTTAGTTTCCATAAAGTTGAATTGGAGGTGGAAGCTGTATTTATAATTTTTGTTAACAGGTGGGGGTATTGTAATTTTTAAGGTTTTTTTTGTCATTTTTTTTAAACTAATAGGGGGTAAATGTAATTTTATAGGGTACTCGGAACCAAAATTGGAACCTATGTTTCAGGTTTCGGTTCTAGTTCCAATTTCAGTTCCAAATCTTAAGAATCGTGTAATAACTCTTTCTAGCTAGTAGACATTGGAAAATATAATATGAATTCACTAAATACATTATAAAAACATATAAGTATATAGGTTGAAGATAGTGGGCCCACAAATTTCTTTATTTTTATATACTAAATTCTTTACAACAACAAAAGTATTGTATACATAATCTCAAAATACAATGGACAGTAGTGTCATTCTCCTCCGTTCTCGACGTTCCTTTCAACCGCTTCTTACCTATTTCCTGCAAAAACAGAGAAATCAATGGAGTGAGCACTAATTGCTCAGTAAGTAAATCTGCTATGATACTTTGTCATGACCCAATCTAACCGTGGGCCCGGCTGGGGATCACAAAGCACCAACTCTCGTGACCATTCTACTCAGTATTGTCCCCCCCTTAAGGGATTTCTTTCGCCTCCCCCACCACTCAAACCCAAGACCAAGGGGCTATAGTCAATTAGGGAACATGGTGAGTACTATCAGGCTAGCTTTGTGATCCCCAGTCGGGCCCACGGTTAGATTGGGTCGTGACAACCTTTCTATCTCCATTGCTTGTATTCTGAATTTCTTTCCTTACATCACACTTTTCTATTCTTCTCGGTTCTTTATTTGTTCTTTCTCTGCTTCTAATTCTCTCTATTCTTTCTCTATTTCTAATTTCTCACTACTCATGATAGTAAGCATGGTTTCATGCATAGGTATGATGCAAATGCACAAATGCATAGGATGTGCATTCTTCTTTCTGTTTTTCTATTTCTTATTCTGTTTTTCTTTCTTTCTCTATTGTTCTTCTTTCTTTCATTCTATTCTTTCTTTTCTCTTCTTTCTTTTCTTTTCTTTTCTTTCTTTCTTTCTTATTCTTTGCCGATCGGACTCGGTTGAGGCATGGATTCGAAACCCTAGCCGTGTGAGTGAGTACAGTCCTCATCTACATGCACTCTTACGGACTGTACAAGCTCTTCTTCTTCTTAAGCGATGCAATATGGCATGTAAACATGTCATTCTCTACTTTCTCTACCATCTACAAACTCATATCAAAAGATAAATCAACATACTCATACATGCACTTCTCTATGAAATTTCATCAAACACTTTATATGCACAAATAAAACACTAAGGTGATTACACTTCCATAACAATCTCTAACCACCAAAATTTTGGAGCAAAGCTCCCTAAAAACAGCTTCAAACTTGTCCAGGAAAATACACTCCATAACTCTACTCAAATTCTTTCTTAGCTCATCCAAACTTCCATCCATTTCTATAAACACAATCAGCACTCCTCATGGTGAAATTCTAGCCATGAATCATCATCAATTCCATCAACAATTCTCAATAACCATAATTATATATAAGAAATCCTCTACACAATTATTGCTCAAATCAAGGGCTAGGGTTGGATTTATTTACCTTGAACTTGGTTAGTTCCACACTAGAACCTCTCTCCTTGGTAGACTTCCTTTTCTTCTTAAACCCTAAGCATATAAACTATAAGAATTCAACACTTAAAAATTAATCTCATATCTTGTTGCAATAATTCTTACCTTTGGATGGTTAAGATTAAATATCTACCAAAATCCAACCAAAAATCCTCTAAATTGCCTTGGAAATTTGATGAAGAAATTGAGAGAATTTGGGAATGAAAGTGGCGTGTGAAGGAGTAGAGAATGGTAGGGTTTTCATTCTTGAACCCTTAATATCTCATTTATTACTTATACTTTCCCATTTTGCCCTTACACTTTTCATGAAATTTCATCTTTGCCCTTTAGTCAATTGCAATAATGCCCTTATTTCCATTACATTCCTCATGAAATTCTACTATTTTTCACTCCCAACATTTTCAACTAATTTTGAGTGGAATGACCCTTTTGCCCTTAAGGAAGTTTTCCAGAATTTTCTCAAAAATTCCAACAAGTTCTTTGCCCCGGCGAAGCTTTTTCTTCACCTTGGCGAAACATTTCAGAGTGTACGTTGCCACGGCGAACTTTCTTCTTTGCCGCGGCGAAGACTGCAATTCTGAAAACTCGATTTGGGCAGTGTATACAATGCCACGACGATAAAACTCCTTTGCCGCGGCGAAGTCTGTAAAATTCTAATTTTCAATCTTTCACTTTAAAACAAGAAAAAACTAAGGGCATTATAGCATAAATAAGTTACCCCACTATGGGTGTTACAAATCGGTCGGTTTCAGTTTCGATTTCGGTCCCTTAAAAAAATGTCAGGTACCCACACCCATTCACCCCTACAAACTAAATATGTATAATGTCTTTTTATTGTCATAACTTATACTATTTAAAATGTGATTTCACTAAAAGATATTAAAAATATAGGGCCTGTTTGATAGGTTATTTGAAAAAATTCTATTCTGAGAAACTGTTTGAATAAGATATGATAAGATTAAATCAAATAAGATAGGATTTTGAGAATCTGTTTGGTATAATATCTTAAAATTATATCAGAGTTAGATAAAAATTAAAATAGTGTTTGGTACATTTTTGGAAAACATTTTCTTAAAATATTTAGATTTTTTTTTAACCTCCTACATTTGTCAATTTAGCTAAACACCCCCACAATAAAAGTTTATAAATTGACAAAAGAGTAAACGACATAGTCCTACCTGAGGTTTAGATAAATCCCAAGTTGGTACCCTTAAACTAACTCTACTTGCTTTATTTTCCAGTTGGAAGGGTAAAACAAACATTTTATTCCTCTTCCCTTCGCATTTCTTCCTCATTTCCACCTCCACCTTCTCCTTCCATCTTCTTCTTTTTCCATCCAAAAAAAAAAAAAAAATCATCTAAAAAAAAAAAAACCCTGTGTGATTGCCATTTTAAGCCCTCACCTGATTCCAACGGCATCTTCACCCCCTACCACCACCATCTGATCCCTAAACCCACTACACTAAAACCCCTCTATCCCTCACCCTGTAGATCCTACAAATTGTAGGCCATCGCAACTTTTTGCTTCGCCCAATCACTGCTCCTTGTCCAAATTTTGGTTGATTTTAGGCACCAACACCCCACCTATTGCAGACTTTCCACAAACAACTTGAGGGCGACAAAAGAAGGGCCAGTCGACGACCAATGGTGAGTGAGGGTGGGTTTTAAAGAGGGGGGAATGGGGGTTCGAATGGTGGTAGTTGGGTGGATTTCCAATGAGGGAGTCAATTGGAAAGTGGCTATAAAGAAGGCGGGTTGCGAAGATGAACAGTCACCATTTTTTGGCGATCGACTGGAGCAACAGTGGTGGGGAAAGGAAAAGAAGGTGTAGAGAAGAGTGAGGGACCTATTTTAGGTGGAAAATGGCTAAAATCGTTGGGTGTGGTGGTGGTTTGATCAACTATGGTAGTGGTCTGAAATGGGGTGATGGACAATTTGGTAATAGCACCTGCCAGTTCCTAGTAATCACTAATGGTGTTACTTTAAGGGTGGATATTTGCAATAAATAAAACTAAGGATATTAACTTGAGATTTTCCTAAACCTTGGGGTGGGAATATGTTGTTCACTCTTCTACGCACCCATCATTATTGGGGGTATATACATGTCGTCACCGCATTTTAACATCACCCTTTGACAAAGATCCCTTAACCACCAATTCCCACACGCCCCACTCACACGCAACCCCACCTAAACCCCACCAAACCAGCGCGTGCCACTACCAGCGCGTGGCCTCAACAAATTTCATGTCGCCACCATAAACTCATTTTTCAAAATTAAGATTAAAAAAATAATATGTTCGACCCAGCCACCACCTAACGAGGCTAACCTCCGCTGCCATTCACCCACTTTCAAGCGACTCTTCCATTTTTTTATTTCTTTACTTTTGTTGTTATTATTGTTATTATTATTATTATTTACTTTTCTTAAGTTTCAACTCCAAGAGAGATGGAACCACACGGCGTTGAAAGCCCCAGATTTCCGGAGATGGAGCCGCACGTGACGGAGGAGGAGCGTTCAACTTCTGCGCTGTGGGACTGGAGCGATCTCCTCGACTTCACCACGGACGATCGCTTTGATCTTCCTATAGTCTCCGACCAAATTGAGTTAAATCCTGAAACGGAGCCTCAACCGGAGCCGCCGGTTGTGTCTTTGAACAAGGTGAGGAAACGGGACCCGAGGTTGATTTGTTCTAATTTTTTAGCGGGTCGGATCCCTTGTGCGTGTCCGGAGGTTGACGCGATGCTTGCCGAGGAGGAAGCGACTCTGCCTGGGAAGAAGCGTGTGCGGACGGTGCGGACCGGGTCGGGCCAGGCAAGGTGTCAAGTGCCCGGTTGTGAGGTGGATATTAGTGAGCTTAAAGGTTATCATAAAAGGCATAGGGTTTGTCTTCGGTGCGCAAATGCGAGTGCCGTTTTGCTTGATGGTGAAAGCAAGAGATATTGTCAACAGTGTGGCAAGTAAAGCTCAATCTTTTTTCTGTTTACGCTTTATATGTTTATTAGTTTGTTAGTTACTAAGTTGAGCTACGTATTAGAAGTGTAACTGAACCTAAAACATCAAATTCGTTACATTCTTGTTTCAGTCAATGTTAATTTGGTTTGAATAGACAAATGGTTTTAGGATTTTGATGACAGTTTGTGCAACTGTTTGAATTTGTAGAGATCGTTTTTGAAATTTATCAAGCTTGTTTCGGATTCTGATTTCAAATGTTTGGTATTGGTTGGATTGCTAGGTTTATAGAGTGATTTGAAATTCAATATCAGGAGCTTATTGTGAAGTTGTGTCTTTGTGATTTGAGAGTAGTTTGTAATATTGAGGGTGAATGTTGACTGACTGATCTTTTGGTCTATTGTAACTTGATGGTATTTTTGGGTGCCAATTATTTTGCAGGTTTCATGTATTATCAGATTTTGATGAAGGTAAAAGAAGTTGCAGGAGAAAATTAGAGCGACACAACAATAGACGACGAAGAAAATCTGTTGACTCTAAAGGTGCTATGGACAATGAACCTCTAGGGGCCACGCAGAGTGAAGATCTTGGTTGTGAGAGTGAATTAGGAAAAGGTATCATAAATTTGAAGCAAGCAGCTAGTTATTCAAATAATCGCTTCTTTGTAATTTTTTTTTTTTTCTGATTTGAATCAACAGATAACATAATTATACCTCCTTCCTTTGACAATTGCTTTATGGACTGATATAAATTATCATAATGCAGATAGTTTATGCTTGAGCAGCCAGATAACTGATCAAGAACCATTTTTTGAGTCTGAAGATGGCCATGTTTCCACTCTTCACTCAGCACCTAATTCCCAGAATGTTAACAGTGATAGTGGAGTGTCTTTTGCTGCTTCTGGTGAAATCCAAACTGATGGAGGAAAAGATGACTCGAAAGGGCATTCGCCTTCCTATTGTGAGAATAAGAGTGCTAATTCGTCCTTGGTGGGTCTCCGCTGATTGCTGTACTTAAACATTGCCTCTTCAGTTTTGTCAATGTGAGGAGCTGTGCTTTTAATGTACTAATTTGTGCATGATTATAGTGTCCAACAGGTCGAATCTCATTCAAGCTATATGATTGGAATCCAGCGGAATTTCCTAGAAGACTACGGCACCAAGTACTTTAAAGAATTATTACTGCAGTTTAGTATTGCAAGGAAAATAATGGTTTTTGCAGCCATAGATATTAGGAATTTTTAACACCTTGATGTATGTATTTGCAGATATTCCAATGGTTGGCCAGCATGCCAGTTGAGTTGGAGGGGTATATTCGCCCTGGATGTACAATCTTGACTGTATTTATTGCCATGCCCAAGATTATGTGGTTGAAGGTAATGATTTGATTAAATGCTTGACATACAGTTCCTTTTAGGATTGTAATGAAGTTAGTCTTCTGGACTATAATATTTTCGATATATGATTGATTGATTTATTTTTAGTCTGAGCAATGCTCATTATCATCTGTTGGAAGGTTACCTTGCTTCAGAGGTGTAAAATGTCTTGTTGCTGGTCTTTTATATATCCTTGTTGGGTACTAAGTAAACAAGAAAGGCATGAACCAATTGTTTATTTTTGTTTGAACTCCTGTGTATATGATAAGTGAAAAAGTTATTTTTATCCTAATTGACTGAGAAACATTCCTCTTATCTGCTGTGCTGAATTTGATAATGCCTGTTTATATCATTCATGCAATACTGCCCTGTGTCATCCGAAACTAACCTTGTTAACAAGGTGGTGCTGTCAGGGGTTTAGGGCAGGCAGTACCTTTATGAGATTAAGGATAGTTTTTGTTTTTATAAATGACAGAACTAACAAAAAGGATAATTAAATTTAATTTAATTTTAGAAAATGCAGCCAATTATCTCCTGAGCTCTTAAAATCTCCCTTAATGTAATTGATGCTCTAATTTGATGGCTAAATTCCAATCTGTTTGGTAGGATTTGAAAACCAAAAGAAGCAATAGATTCCTCCAATGATTGGAAAATGAAAATCTGAAGAAATTTTTTTCCCACCAGACCTGCATTTTTTATTTTATTTTTTCTTTCTAGAAACATTGATAAGAATGAAGCAATTATTTGTGAAAGGGTCTTCTTTGTTTTTCCGCTTTCTCTTCAGTCTCTTTCTTTCTTTGAATTAAACAAGCCAGAGGGAATCACTTTCCTTTTTTATTCTTACTAACAAGATTTTTTCGTAACGATATTATGATGTATAGTGATCTCATCTAAACCTAAAAACGAAATATATATTGAGCATTTATGTTGCAATTTAAAATTATTTTCTTCTCATAATCATTCCCTTGTTCTTTTAGGAGCATCATCTTTGTGAGAATATAATTTACTTATGTTGAAGTTTCTAGTTTCTTGCTTGTTAGCCTTATGAAGAATTCCCTGTCGTTAGAATTTTTGTTCTTTTTCCTTTAATGTTTATTATTCTTTCCTGAAAGTTTCATAATTTAATACAAGTTTTTGTTGCATTGAGCAGTTATATGAAGATCCTATAACATATCTGCATGACTTTGTTGTTACACCTGGAAGGATGTTATCTGGAAGAGGCTCTATATTTGTTCATCTGAACAACATGATTTTCCATGTTAAAGGTAAAATGACAATGCATAAAATTTCTGATATGTGTATCACAATCTTCTTTTTTACTTTTTCCGTTTCTTTATATGTTTGTTATTCGGTGTTCTTGTCTATAGAAATTATGGATTTGCAAGTATTGTTCAGAGAAGCATCCCTTTATCTGTCACATCATCTCAGAATTCTACTTCCTGTCTCTGGTCTCAGATGGTTCTGTTTGAACATACTTTAAAGTTTTCGATATGTTACAGCTTCTTATTATTATCCCCTTTGATGGATGTAGATGGAACTTCTGTGGTGAAAGTCAATGTAGAGGTGAAGGCCCCAAGGCTTCACTATGTCCATCCTACATGTTTTGAGGCTGGCAAGCCCATGGAGTTTGTTGCTTGTGGAAGTAATTTGCTTCAACACAAACTTCGGTATGTCATTGTTATCTTCAATAAATTATGTGCACTTTGGTTTCAGTTGTGTTGTTTATTAATTGATCAATTTAAGTTTGACAACTACTTGGTTGTCAATTATTTCTTAATTATTTTTTTTTTACTATTCATATTTCTTAAATCCATTTTGTTTTAGTAATTTTTATAGACTGAAAACTGTGGCCATTAAGATATGATATGTATGGGGTTATATTGGGCATTATTGGTGTGGTCACTATGACTTATGTCATTTTTTTCTTATAGTGATGCATTGTTAATATCTACCTGTATTACCTTTGCTATATCTGTAGTAATAGTCTGTCAGCACATACTGTCAGCAGTACACATGAAACCTCTTAACTAGATCTTTACTGGATACTTTAATTTTATGCTTCAGTTTGTTTCTCTCAATGAATCTTGAACTATATAATGTAAGACCTTAAGGAGATGGTCATGGCTGCAGGTTTTTAATATCTTTTGCTGGAAAGTATCTGCCTTATGATTGTTGTGTTGCATCTTCGCATGGTCAAAGTGAAGGGAATCCTCTTGCTTTTGACCACCAGTTGTACAAGATATATGTACCGCACACTGAACCAGATCATTTTGGTCCTGCATTTATTGAGGTATGTATTGTAAAAAGTCCTACCACCCAAAGAATTCAAAAAGCAACTTTAGCTGTTTTTGGAGGGTAGTTATCCTTAACAATGTGGTTTTATAGCAGGCTGATTTTGTAATAACTGTAAAGTCATGCAACTTCTGATTGTCAGACTTAAACATGTATCATTCTGAGACATAACAATTATATCCAGTGGCAGAGCCAGGAAATTTATTCTGGACGGGCCCTGATTATATCTGAGGTCATGTATGATTTGCATAGCCTTAGGTCTAGTTTATACTGTCTGTACATGTTTGATGTTCCAGGGTTGTTATTTTTTAGGGAGACAAATTTTCAGGCATTAAATTGATCTAACGGTCTTGTTTGATAGTTTCAGCATGCTCTTATTGCTTTAGCAGTGTGATAAGGATAGCCTCTATTTAGCAAATTCATGTACTTTTTTGTCTCATGTTAGTATCTGTTTGACTGTTCCATATACTTTTTTTGATAAGAAATTATGAAAGTTTTATTAATAAAAGGAGCTATAAAAAAAGTGAACAAGCATTCAACTAAAGAAGGACAAGCTTGAAAAAACAAGAGAAAATTATTTGTAATGTATACCAAACAGCCCAGAAAAGAAAATCGTCAAAAAACTTTAAGAGAACCAGCCAAAAGCTCCCTAGAATGAAAACTTAACAGACCCAAAA